TTCCCTGACTCTTGAATCAGAAGGAACCTCAAAGAAAATTTGGTTTTTGTTATGTGGGTCCCTTTGAGAGGCAGCCTGGCACCATGTGTGGGGTCTGGAGCCAAGCTGGTGGTGTGGAAGTCCTGACTGTGCCAGCTGAGGATTCCTGGGTCTGAGTGTGGTGGCATAAAGCCCAAATGGGCTGGCACAGAGGCCATAAGCTATTTTATTTACTCTAGTGGGGTAGGTTTCAGTCAAGCAGATCTGACTTGCAGGTACCAGCTGAGTGACGTGGGGCAGGTGTCTCCACATCCAGCCATCATCTGTAACATAGGTCTACTGATACAGCCCTGCCTCAGAGGGGATGAAAATTAAACTAGTCTATTCTTATCAAGTACTTAGAAAAAAATCTGGTGCCCAAACCTGTCAACATTACTTATCATATGGAAATATATGAATTCCCTAGTTTTCCAATTTTGGGACAGCTTAAAAGTCATTCCTTAAGCTTAGTTGACATGTCCAGCTTGATTGTGTAAGGGGCTTCTTGTTGGAGAGGGTTGGAGTGTGGTCAGAGGGAGGCTACAGACAAACGGTAGCCTTGCAGCCATGCAGTCAGCTCACACAGGAGACTGGGCTTCCAGAGTGTTCCTCCTGCTCCTGAGCCATGCCTGAGATTCAGGAGGCCGTGGTGGGGCTCTAACCCCACTCCCCAAACTGTGGGAGGCACCTATGACATTTCCCAGGTGCTGTCAGGATGCCTATGCCTTGCTGCTTCCTCCTGCCCAGCCAGCCTGAGGCTCTTTCTGCTTTTCTTTCTGTCTTTGATGATCTAAACTTTGGGGACCTGGGACCAGCTGAGTATCTGACTTCAGCCCCTACTTTGCTCTCCGTTTCACTGTTCTTTTTTTCTAATTTAAAAAAAATTTTAATGTTTGTTTATTTTTGAGAGAGACAGACAGTGTGAGTGGGGGAGAGGCAGAGTGAAAAGGAGACAGAATCCAGAGCAGCCTCCAGGCTCTGAGCAAGCTATCAACACAGAGCCTGACGCAGGGCTCGAACTCACAAACCAGGAGATCATAACCTGAACTGAAGTCAGATGCTTAACCAACTGAGCCACCCAGGTGCCCCTTAATTTTTTTTTTAATCTTTACTTATTTTTGAGAGAGAGAGAGAGAAAGAGACAGAGTGTGAGCAGGGGAGGAACAGAGGGAGAGGAAGACACTGAATCCAAAGCAGGTTCCAGGCTCTGAGCTGCCAGCACAGAGCCTGTTGTGGGGCTCGAACCCACAACCGCAAGTTCATGACCTGAGCCCAAGTCAATTGCTCAACAGACTGAGCAGCCATCTAGGTGCCCCTTAGTTTCACTGTTCTTATATGAAGTCATTCTGTTCCTGATTATGACAATAATTTTTTAAATAATAATTCAATGATGTTAACAACTAGCCCATATTGAAAATGTTCAGTAAGTCGGGCACCATGCTACACAGTCTGTGTGTCTTATCTCAGGCGACCCCCCCCAAAACACTGGTGATATTGTAATCCCCACTTTACAGATGAGGAAATGGACTCAGAGAAGAAACTTGCCCCAGATCACATGTGAGATTCAAACCCAAGTCCTTTGGACTGTGTGGTAGCTCTTAGCCACTATACTTAGCTACTTGGGGTTAGAAATTTGGAGACAGTCTTGCAGTGGGGAGTGAAGTGAGAGGTCAGGGTGGATTGAGGAGAAGTCAGGTACATGTTACTTATTCTTAATTTGAGGATGCTTTGATGGGCACCAGTGACAAAGGTCCCAGGGCAGTTTTGTTGACCTAGCAGGGTCCTGTCACTAATGCTTTGCTAACTACTGAGACCTCCGGATCAAGTCAGGGCCTAGCCAGCATCCAGCAAGTCAGCCAGGCATCTGGACCTGTGGTGCTTGGGAGAAGAGATGGGACAGACAGGCCTGGGTTTAGGAGTCTTAAACATGTACCATCTCCACCCAGGAAGAGACCCTGAAATCCAGATGGGCTGCCTCCCTCCAAGTGTGCAAACTCCCCACCCAAATTCTACAGGAAGGGACCTTTCAAGACATTTGCTCCATTTCTTTAGTTATAGACTCTGTGACCCAAGAAAAGGAAGGAACTTACCATTACTCGGCACAAGAGAGCTGAGGCCACCATTTATTGAGTGCTTCCTATATGCAAGACCTTTGCTCTGTGTTCTCCCTCCTTCTCTCATTTAACCCCTGCCATAGTGCTAAGTGGTTTTCCCCAGAACCTGGCATCATGACATCCAGATTAGGGTGGTTCACACTGTACCTCAGTGACTCCCTAACAACTGCTGCTTAAGGGCATGGGGCTGCTCCACCCCCACCTAAGAGGTGGGGTGCTTAACCAACATTCCTTGTCCATCAGAGGCAGCTGGCCACCCTTCCTTCCAGTGTCTACTCCAGCCACACTGGCTGGCTCCCAGGGCCTTGAACAGACCAAGATCTGTCTTTCCTCAGGGATTTCACACACGTGTCCCCCTCTGGAAAGCTCTCCTCACCATGCACATCGCCCTCCTCCCGCCTTGCCTGTCCATCTCCTGCACATCCTCAGGTCTCAGCTTACATGTCTTGCTCAAATAAATTTTTTCTAACCTCTCCTCCTCAAATGGGATCATTTTGTTTCTTCATAGCACATATCCCAATTTGAGAATTTAATTTTATTTGTGGGCCTATTTGCTGAACTCCTCCCCTCTGCTGAATGATGAAGTAATGGAGGTTAGTGGAATGGCTATTTTGTCCACTATAGAATACTTCTCACCAGCACGGTGCCGGGCACAAAGCAGAGCTCACCAGACATTTGTTGAATGATGGATGGTCAGAATGGGCTGAACATGAGTCACTTAAAAATCTCCATCTCTACCACTAGTTTTTGGAGTTCAGACTTTAAATACAAAGGTTATGGAAGAAAACTGCTGAACTTTCTAAAATATTGATCAAAGTAGCTAGAAATCAAAATCAGATTTGGGGGTCTAAATGGTACATTGACTTGTAGCTGTCAAAGGCTATCAGGGATGCAGAACTTGATGCGAGAGAATGTGAGTGACAGCTCAATGAGAAACAGGCAAACTGGGGCTGCCTCCAAGTTTGAGATCATCCTCAGGGGAAAAAAGTTGTGCTTCTAAGTTGTGTTAATTGGTAGAAAAACTCAATCTGCGAACAAGATTTGAAGGGCGGGCACACAATTTTTTTTTTCTGGGTGAAGGGACAGTTGTGTAAGTTTGCAGGGATACAGCTACACTGGACCATCGGGAGCTGTTGGCAAGCTCCTGCACAATGGAAAGCTGTGTAGTGCAGCCATTAGCTCCGTTATGATCCTCATTTATGATTTTATTTACTTAATAATTCAGTCTTTCGTGTCATGAATTTTTGAGAGAGACATTCAATTAGGAATTATGACTGCAGTTTAGAGAAATATATCTCCTTATTGGTGAGGTGGGTGCCAACTTTCTTTTATGGGTGCACCTGGATGCATTCCAGAACATTTGGAGGAAACAAATTTTAGCACTTCTCCCTTTCTCCCTCAAAGCTTGGGAGTTGTGCCAGTTAGAAAAACCTTCCTGTGTCCTCTCAATTCTAGGTGTAGTGTTACATTGGTAGCAGGCAGAAAGGGCAGGGGTGCTCTGGTGACATCTCCCAACTAGTTCACCTGGACAGATATTTCCTAAAATCCTACCACATCCAACTTCTTCCTTGGACCACATGCAGGTGTGAATTTTTCTCCATTTAATGAGTCTTTCTCCCAAATGACACTCTCATTCTGATGTTTGCTTCTAATACTTCCCATCTCATCAGACTCAGAGTTCATCCTAAACTTTCCCACAGGAATACTCACAACCTCCTCCAAAACCCCCAATTTTCCATCTGGAATGTGTTACATTAGTGTTCCTTGGTTATAAGTAATGGGAATGTACTCTGTCTAACAAGCAGAAAAAGAATTTGTTAGTGACACATTGTCATTGAAAAGCTGAAGACATAGGTTGAGAAGGTGAAAAAATAAGGCACTGAGGTGGCAAGAAAGCTGGACCATCTCTCCAGTCAAGGCAAATGAGCACCAACTTTTGTATCACTCATCTTAACATGGAAGATTGAGGGGAGAACATCTGATTGGCTAAGCCTAAGAAGCAGAAGCCAGGGCACTTTTATTGATAGTCCCATCAGACTGTGTACAATGGGAGAGGTGGTTTCCCTCAAACAGAATAGGGTGTCATTGTCTAAAGAAGAAGGAACACATCTAGGAAGGCAGGCAAAGTCAACACAAGTCTGGTAAAATTGGGAGGGATTTGGACACTAGGCCACCCAAAGAGTGGCTGGAGGAGTTGAAGGCCATTAGCCTAGAGACAAGAAGATTTGGTATTGGAATTCAGCTTTGAATTCTTGAAGAGTGCTTGAAAAAAATATTTTTTCTCCTTCCTTATAATGCTGTCATGGAGGTAGGGTTATTATCCCCATTTTATTGATGAGGAGACTAATAATCACAAAAATTGAGTAGTTTGCACAAAGTCACATTATAAGAGGGCAAAGCTGGTTCAAACCCAAATTTTTTTGACTCTCAAACCCATGCTGAATGCTTCTTTTTGACTCAGTGAGGACAGGTTAAAAGGAGTGGATAGAATAGATAGAAAAATCAGGCAAAACTTGGGTAAATATCAGGGAGAACTTCTCTTGTGTTGTTATTGTTTTAAACAGAGTTTTCTAGCAGTGTTCTTTAGAAATAGTGATCTTACTGGGATGGATAATTGCCATTTTTGTTTCTCAGTTCTATCCTTTCCTTCTTTTGGTAATCATGGGCCAGTTTTACTTTGCAGATGTCTTCAGGAATCTCCTTGCTGGGTGGGCATTTGAGTTTGTATCCCTCATGGGGGTTTACAGTAGCTAATGTTTTTAAGCACTTATTTTCCAGGCACTACTTCTGAGTTTTTTCATCAGTCAACTCATATAATACTTGCACCATTTTTATGATATAGAAACAATTTTTATTCCACTTTTACAGAGGAGGAACCTGAGACAGAACATGTCCAAAGTTACACATGCGGTACACAATAGAGCGGGAATCTGAACCAGGTAGTCTGCTTCTGAGTCTGCATTATCTCAGTTATGGTGGCACAGAACTTAAACTGACAGGTAAGCCAATCCACCCTTGTAGCCAACATTTTGGAAGAGCAGAGAGGTCACATGCCAGCATAAAATGGCATGTAAGCAACTAGAAGATGGAGCGGATGTTTGAGGAGAGGAGGTATGAGAGAGAAGCACAGCTTTGGACACTGGCCACCCAGTGCCAGGCCCCAAGTGGCCCAGCTGTCCTCTGTTTCCTGTCCTTGGCCAGTCATATCCTTCCCAGTTCCCCATTACCTGAGCTAGTTTGAATGAACATGCTTCTCATCTCTGCTTTCCCTACTGACAACTCTTCCACAATGTACACTTCTGCCCAGGGGAGTCAACAGTGTCTTCTCTGTACTCAAGTCTAGAGCAAACCAACAAGAGGGTAGGAAACAAGGCACCCCAAGATTCCTGGAAACTCCACAAGGGAGAATCATAGAATGTTTTAAGCATCTTTGACCTGTAAATTGGTGAAAATTTACAGGTACTTACCATGTTTTTGAAAAATCAAGGCCTTGCTTCTACCCATACCCTTGGTAGAGAAAGCAAGGTCACTAACTCCCACCTGCCTCCAGACAGAGCAAGCCCCAGACTACTTGCTGGGAGCCCAGCCAAGTGCCATCTGAGGTATTGTGGGATTGTCCATGCTGCTGTCCCATCCCAAGGCAGTTTGAGAATGTAGCCAATTGACTCCTCTCCCCAGCACACTCTGTTCAACAGAAGAAAAAGACTTTGTGTCTCTCTCATAACTTGATCCTCTGACCTGTGACATAGGATCCTTGTGGACCTGGGAGGAAGGTGGTTTCCATGATTCAGAAGGTCAGAGAGAAAAGATTTCTCATAGTCTGCTCCTTTGAAAGAAGGATCCAAGTTCAGCATCTCAATCTGGTGGAAGTTAAGAGGCTTGCCTGCTAGGAAGACTTACTTAGGTTTATGGTCAGTGCATTTTGGAAATACCCATTAGTGTTGCAAACCAGTAAAGAATACAGGGGGTCGCTGGCACCTAATGGTTGCCTTTGTGCAAGAATAATCCTGTGAACTATTTGAGTGGACTAGAATGGGTTCTGTGTCTCTATGCTAAGCCCAAGAGTGCTAAAGTGATTTCTTTCCCCAGCATCTTCCCAAGGTAGATCTTTTTTTTTATGCCAGGGGCTCAGAAAGACTCCAGAGAAGCTGCCGTAGAATCGCAGCTTCTGCCACAAGAAAAACAACTACCTGCCAGGCCCTGTGCCATGCTCTTACCTACACCATCTCTCTAAATCCTCAGCCCAGCCCTAAGAGGTAGAACTGTTGTTACCCTTTCTCACAGATGTGGAAAATGAGGCTCAAAAAACTTGATTTATTGCCCCAGAAGTAGAGCTGGAACTTGAGGTGGTGAGTCTAACCCCAAAGAGATGGAACCTGCCCCCAATCTTCATTTTGGAGAATTTACTTTCCTTTCCTGGTTCACTGATTCCCTTCCTCTTGGCTCTTCCTTCTGCTTATGCTCCTAACAATCCCAGCCACACCCTGCTACATGTACCCTGAGCCACCTCCCACCTCTCTATCCCACAACCCCATTGTCACTGGGTGGCCCAAGCAAGAAACTAGAGCAAAACAGTTCAGGCCCTTGAAGACCCTCAGTTTTGTCACATCCCTTCTCTCCTGCCTGAGCCACTGACTACAGTTCCCTCTCCTCATCTTCTTTGTAACACCCCTGGATAGAATTCTGGATTCTTGACTCATCCATCCATCCATCCACTCATTCAGTTGAACAAATTTTGAGCACCTTTAATGGATCAGGCACTGTTCCATGTCTTGGAAACACAAAAACACATAGACTAGAGTCCCTGCCTTCTTTAACACAATTTTGGGTGGCAGACCATGGACAAGACTACAAATAAATGAAAAAGATAAATAAGCAAGACTATGGCAAGTGTCTTCACGGACAGTCTCAGCAGGAGGACATGGAGGAGGTAAGGGCAACTTTAGACAGCAAGACTGGGCTACATCTTTCTGTGGGATGACTTGGTTTTAGGGGGCTGAATGGACTTCTGGTGCCACACTAATGGGGCCCAAGTATGGTATGAGTTTCCTGGGTGCTTCTGCCCTGCAGATACTTCTTTCTCCCCTAGGTCTGTCAGCTAGGAATCCTTAGGAAGGGAGTTAGCAGCCAGGCTTAGTAAAACCTAGTGGAATAGGCAAGGCTGCTAATTTAGCTCCATCTGTTCCTGCCCAGGATGGAGTGCTGGCTCATCCTACCCTTCCTGGGGGACCTTACTCTCTGGTTCCAGGAATTGTCCTTGGCACCTGCCTACCAGGTCTCTTGTCAATGAAGCAAAAGATTAGCCTCCAACTTCATTGTGTCACCTGTCCAAGTGAGCCTCATACCTCTCCTTCCCCCAAGATTCATCTATGTGTTTCTTTTTTTTTTTTTTTTACTGTCTATTTGTTTTTGAAAGAGAGTGAGAGAGAAAGAGCAGGGGAGGGACAGAGAGAGGGGACAGAGGATCTGCAGCAGGCTCTACACTGACAGCAGAGAGCCTAACGCAGGCTCGAACACACAAACCATGAGATCGTGACCTGAGTGGAAGTCAAGAGTTGGACGTTTAACTGAGCCACTCATCTTTTGTTTCCAGGCCTCATTTTGTAACTGCCTCTGCTGACCTTTTACTAGGATGTATTTATGAGCACATTTTGTTTATCCCCTGGGGCCCTGGGATCCAAAGGGATTTGGGGGTGGCTCTGTCACAGAGGGAAGTTCTCTGGGGTTCTTGTTGCTTTTACCTTTTTTGGAAACTTGTGAAATAATAAGAAATGAATACAGGCATACTTTGGAGATATTGTGGGTTCAGTTCCAGACACCACAATAAAGTAAATATCACGATAAAGTAAGCCAAATGAATTTTTTGGTTTCCCAGCTCACATAAAAGTTACATTTACACTATATAGTAGCCTATTAAGTGTGCAATAGCATTATGTCTAAAATAACAATATATATTCTTGAATTCAAGAATACTTTATATAAAGCACTTATATAACTCAACACCAAAAAATCAATCTGATTAAAAATGGGCAAAGGATATGAATAGACATTTTTCCAAAGAAGGCATGCAGATGGCCAACAGACACATGAGAAGATGCTCAACATCACTAATCACCAGGGAAATGATCATAAAAACCACAATGACATATCACCTTACACCTGTCAGAATGGCTAAACTGAAAGAGACAAGAAATAAAAAGTGTTGACAAGAATGTAGAGAAAAAGGAACACTTGTGCTCTATTGGTGAGAATGTAAATTGGTGAAATCACTGGGGAGAACAGTATGGAGGTTCGTCAATTAAAAAAATTAGAAATACTATATGATCCAAAAATTTCACTACTGGGTATTTACCCAAAGAAAATAAAAACACTTTCAGCAAGTTGTAATTATTTTTCTGGTAGATTTTGCCTTGGTGTTGATGGTTGCTGACTGATCAGGGTGGTGGCTACTGGAAGGTTGAGGTGACTGTGATAACTTCTTAAAAGAAGATAAGAATGAAGTTTGCCACATTGTTTAACTCTTCCTTTCACAAATGATTTCTCTGTAACCTGTGATGCTGATTGGTAGCATTTTACCCACAGTAGAACTTCTTTCAGAGTTGGAGTCAATTCTCTCAAACTCTGGTGCTGCTTTATCAACTAAGTTTATATAGTATTCTGAATTCTCTGTTGTCATTTCAACAATCAATATTCACAGGATCTTTGCCAGGAGTAGATGCTATCTCAATAAACCACTTTCTTGTTCATTTAAGAAGCAACTCCTCATCCATTAAAGATTGATCATTAAATTTCAGTGATTCAGTCCCACCTCTGAACTCCACTTCTTTTTTTCTTTAATGTTTATTTACTCTTGAGAAAGAGAGAGAGAAAGAGAGATGGAGTGTGAGTGGGTGAGGCTCAGAGAGAGAGAGACAGAGAGAGGGAGACACAGAATCCAAAGCAGGCTCCAGGCTCTGAGCTGTCAGCACAGAGCCTGACGTGGGGCTCAAACTCACAAACCGCATGAGATCATGGCCTGAGCTGAAGTCAGGCACTTAACCGACTGAGCCACCCAGGTGACCCTGAGCTCCACTTCTGATTCTAGTTCTCTTGCTGTTTCCACCACATCTGCAGATACTTCCTCCCCTGAAGTCTTGAACCCCTCAAAGTTATCTGTGAGGGTTGGAATCAACTGCTTCCAAACACCTGTTAATGTTGATATTTTGACCTCTTCCCATGAATCATGAGTGCTTTGATGGCATTTAGAATTGTGAATCTTTTCCAGAAGGTTTTCAACATACTTTGCTCAGACTCATCAGAGGAATCACTATCTATGGCATCTATAGCCTTAAGAAATGTATTTCTTTTTTTTTAACATTTATTTATTATTGAGAGACAGAGAGACACAGAGTATGAGCAAGGGAGGGACAGAGAGAGTAGGAGAGACACAGAATCTGAAGCAGGCACCAGGCTCTGAGCTGTCAGCAGAGAACCTGATGTGGGGCTTGAACTCACAAACCATGAGATCATGACCTGAGCTGAAGTTGGATGCTTGACTGAGCCACCCAGGTGCCCCTGTATTCCTTAAATAATAAGGCTTGGAAGTTGAAATTACTCTTTGATCCATGGGCTGCAGAATGGATGTTGTGTTAGCAGACATGAAAACAACATTAATTTCATTGTCCGTCTCCACCAAAGCTCTTGGATGACTGGATGCATGGCCAAAGAGCAGTTATATTTGAAAAGAAATCCTTTTTTCTGAGCATCAGTTCTCAACAGAGGGCTTAAAATATTCAGTAAACCATGTTGTAAACAGATGTGCTGTCATCCAGGCTTTGTTGCTCCATTTATACCGTACAGGCAGAGTAGATTCAGCATAATTCTTAAGGGCCCTAGGATTTTTGAAATGATAAATGAGCACTGACTTCAACTTATAGTCACCAGCTGCATTAGCTTCTAACAAGAGAGTCAGCCTGTCCTTGAAGCTTTAAAGCCAGGCATTGACTTATCCTCTCTAGCT